ACAAGGAGCATTTTCCAAGGTAGATTATATCTTAGGCCACAAAACAAATTCAAAAAACATAGGGGTAATATCAAGTGTCTTCTCTAACCACAATGGAATGAAATTAAAAGTCAATGACAAGAGGAAACTTGGAAAATACACAAACCCATGGAAATTAAACAATTAATGACTAATGACTAATCCAGGAGCCGTTATGACATTAAGAAGAAAATTTAAGAATTTTTTGAACCAAATGAAAATGGAAGTACAACATACCAAGATCTATGGGATGCAGCAAATACTTAGACGTTTGTAGCAATAAATGCATACATCAAAAAAGTAGAAAGAGTTCAAATGAACAATTCACTTTGAGGAACTAGAAAAGCAAGAACAAACCAAACCTCAAATCAGTAAAAGAAAAGAAATAATAAAGATCAGAGCAGAAATAAGTGAAGTGAGACCAAAAAACAAATTACAAAAGATCAGAAAAGTAAAAGTTGTTTTTTTGAAAAGATAAGCAAAATGGCACACAATTAGTTATACAAGAAAAAAGAGAGAATACTTGAATAAATAAGAAATGAAAAAGAAGACAAAACAACTGAAACCTCAGGAATACAAGAAGCCATTAGAGACTATTCTGAATGACAGTGTGCCAACAAATTGGAAAGCCTCGATGAAATGGATAAATTCCTGGCCACACATGACCTATCAGGATTCTACCTGGACAAAGCAGAAAACCTCAACAAACCAATAACTAGCAATGAGATTGAAACTGTAGCAAAAAGTCTACCAAGGAAAAGCCCAGTAAGATTAGCCCATATCACAAAATCCCAAGACCAGAGATGTTGGCCTGGATGTGGAGAAAAGGGAACACTTCTACACTGCTGGTGGGAATGTAAACTAATTCATTCCTTTTGGAAAGACGTCTGGAGAACACTTAGAGAACTAAAAATAGACCTGCCATTTGATCCTACAATTCCTTTATTAGGTATATATCCAGAAGACCAAAAATCACATTACAACAAATGTTTGTATCAGAATGTTTATTGCAGCCCAATTCATAATTGCTAGGTCATGGAAGAAGCCCAAGTGCCCATCAACCCATGAATGGATCAATAAATTGTGGTGTATGTACACCATGGAATATTATGCAGCCCTAAGGAAAGGTGGAGACTTTACCTCCTTCATGTTTACATGGATGGAGCTGAAAAATATTCTTCTTAGCAAACTATCTCAAGAATGGAAGAAAAAGTATCCAATGTACACAGCCCTATTATGAAACTAATTTATAGCTCTCATAGGAATGTTATAACCTAATTATAGCCTTAGAATATGGGGAGGGGGAAGAAGGAGGGGAGGTGAGGTGGATGGGTGGAGGGAGGGTGATTGGTGGGGTTACCTCTATGGTTTATCTTATAAGGGTACAAGTGAATCTTTCTAAAAGCAGAGTATGAATATCTTAACACAATAACTAAGAAAATAACATGAAGGCTACGTTAACCAGTTTGATGAGAGTATTTCAAATTGTATATGTAAATACCACATTGTACCCCAGGATTGCATTAATGTACACAGCTATAATTTAATTAAAAAAAAAAGAAAAGCCCCAAACCTGATGAATTCACTGCTAAAATCTACCAAACAGTTAAAGAAGAGCTAATACTAATTCTACTCAAACTCTTTTTAAAAAATTGAAGGAGAAGGATACTTCCAAGTTCATTCTGTGAGGCTAGCATCACCCTGATATAAGAATCACATGAAGACACAAGAAAAAAGAAAAAAAAGAACAACAGACCAATATTGGTGAAGAACATAAATATAAAAATTCCTAACAAAATACCAGTAAACTGAATGTCACAACGTATTAGAAAGATCATTTGCCAGGGATCGGAGAATAGTTCAACGTATGCAAATCAATAAACAACACACCACACAAACAGAAGCAATTTCCTCCTCTATATTCTAATTACTCTGCATTCCCCCCCCCCAAATCTTTAGTAAGCACTGATTATACATAGCACCCGTGTAGTACAGAATGAGAGAGACGAAGGAGAAGGGTATGCAGTTATGTTTGGGGCCAAGAAGAGTGAGAGAGGTGGTGGAGGCCGTGATGAAGAACCTGCCGGAGTGATGGCGAGCTAAGCCACTGGCAGGTTGTTGAAGACACATCGGGACACTGCCAGGCAGAGTCAAAGCAAAGCCTTCATGTTCTCACCGTAGGGAGGTGAAAGCAGGGACAGGTCGCTGAGTCATTATGAGAAAGAGAGTTTTGTGGTGGAGGAAGCAACACCTTGGTTGAATTTCTTGAAGCTCATCGCTCTGTTGCTCGGGTGGAGAGAAGCACCTCTCTTCTGTGTGTGGATTCTGAAAGAAGCCCATGTGGTTCTGACTCGTTGGGTGCCCTTGCTCCCACGGACTCCTGACCCCTGCTCCTTCTCCAGGTGGGGTCTGAAGTGGAGTCAGCTCACGGGCTGCTGTTCCTCCCCTTCAAGTGCTCTTCACTCTGGCGATATGTTGGCCTGCTTCATGGACCTTGAGCTCAGAGTTCTCAAAGCATCAAATGCAGTGGTGCAGAGACACCTACGGCATGGGCCTGGGTGGTTCCTTCCCAGGGGACAGGCCAGCAAGAGTGACTCAGCACACCAGCTGACCCACGGAAGCTGTAGCTATGTGCATGTGTTTGGGGGCAAGGGGAACCATAGTGAGCAGGATTTGTAATAAACCTCTAACCATGTTCCACTTTTTCTAGGATGCCTCTGCTTTGGAACACGTAGAACTGGAGAAATGCCAATGCTTTGTTTATTATATTCCCGTAGTGAAAAGGCGCTGCTCTCAGGCAGCACAGGGTGAGCTTGGCCCCCATGATGGGGCAGCAGGCCGTCAGGCAGAGGGAGTTCTTCCTCTATGTCCCTAAACCTTCTTTGCTTCACACCTAAGCCTCAGTCTAAATTGTTATCCCCCACCCTCCAGAGTAAGCTGATCCCTCTGCCATGGAGCCCCCTATGCACCTGCACAGTGAGTCTCCATCCACGCAGTGAGTGCTGGGCTTCAGAGGACTGTCCCTACAGCTGGTGAAGAAGCCCCAGGGAGGGCCACAGAGAAGGGGGCTGCTGTGGGTGGCTAGGGCAGAGCTGAGGGCCTGGAGGAAGCAGGGGCAGTAGACCCAAAAAATGGGACTGGGTGGGCTTGAGGGGAGGGCTGTGTCAGGAGAAGTGTGGATAGACGTGGTGCTTTGGGGCCTGTTGAATTGCAGTGTCCTCTGCATGGTCCTGGGCTCCAAAGGAGTCTGGCTGAAGCCTGAGCTAGAGAGAGGTGCATGAGGCACAGGAGGGCTGTGTGGGGCAGGGGATCTCACTGGCTGTAAGGCCACCCTCACCCTTCACATGACTTGTGTTTTACTTTCAGAGTTTGTATCATGAACATCATAGAAAATAGCTGTTACCAGCTGAATTGTGTACTCCTGAAATTCATATACTAATTTCCTAGGTCCAGTACCCAAGAATGTGTCTGAATTTGGAGAAAGGATCTTTAAAGAGGTAATTAAGTTAAAATGGTCCTCATTAGGGTGGGCTCTAATCCCATAGGAATGTTGTCCTTATTAGAAGAGGAAATTGGGACACAGAGAGGAAAAACCGTAGGAAGACCCAGGGAGCAGATGGCCACCAATAAGCCAAGACACCAACCCCACCCACACCTTGACTTCAGACTTTCAGCCTCCAGAACTGTGAGGAAATACATTTGTGTCGTTCAAGTCCTCGGGTTGGTGATACTTTGCAATGACGGCTGGAGCAGACTAATGCAGTGGCCCGTGCTGGATACTTAATATATGTCAAATACTGTTTTAAGTGTGTATTTTAACACATTTAATAGTCACAGAAGCCCTATTCATAGTAGGTAGTACAGTCCATTGTGGGGGTTCATCCCACATCCCAGCCTGTCCCCCCACCCCCCACCTTGGGAAAATATACCTCCACTTTCTTAGTGCCCCTCCCCTTCACAGGTGCCCCACTCAGCAATATGCCCTGGTTGCCCACAAGCCTCTGCCCCCACCTGTCACTACCTCTGAATCTGCTGGGCTGGTCTGTATACTTGCTACCACCAGGCATGATGCCATTCTCAAAATGAGAAGATCAGTAATTCAACTGTGGGCAGGCCGGGGGCCAGTGCTCTTCAGGGTCTGCTTTATTCTTCCACAGCTGCCCTAATGGACAGGGACACTGTCATCCTCTTTTTAACTTTACCTTCTAGAGAGAGAGGCCAGGGCTTAGAGAGACAAGGTGTGTTTTCCCAGGTCACAGGGTAGCAGGAGTGAGGGAGGGAAGCTGGCTTGCTGGGAGAAGCTGCTGGCTGCACGTGGTTGGCAAAGTCTGAGGTCCCAGGAAAGAGAGAAGAAACATCAGTGTGAGTATGAATGTGTGCACGTGGATTTGCCTTTTCTCGATAAAATTCTTATTTTCTATATTAATGAAGGCAGGATTTTGCTTGTTTTGTTCTTTGTCATATCTTTATTGTCTAAAATAGTATCTTCTACTCCCGTACGGGCTCTAAAAACATACAGAAGGGAGGGAAGGAAGAGGGAGGAAGGAAGGAAAGAAGGACAGAAGGAAAAAAGAAAGGAAGAAAAGGAAGAAAAGTAGGAAGGGAAAGAGGGATGGAGGAGGAAGTAAAAAGGAAGGGATTGCTCCTCTCCCAGTGGGCTTGAGCCCATCACCCCCAAATGTATAGAACTTTGGCTTTTGCCTATGAAGAAGGACTGAAAGCCACCCTACCCTGGTGCTCCCCACAGTCCAGACAAAGTTCTCTCGCCCCAGTGGCCATACAAGTGTCCTCAGAGGGAGCAGATGCAGGTGGAGGAAGTTCCTTGTGACCCATAGAGAAAACAGCGTGGGGTGCAGCCTCCTGAGTGCCCACAGGTAGGGAGGAGCCCATGCCAGTACAGTGCAGCTCTATAAAGCTCCCTGGCTGGAGCATCTCCAGAGGGCAGTGGTTCTATCCCTGCAGCCCAGGAAGGGGCCAGGAAGATGGCCCTGCTCCTGTGGGTCTTCAGCCTACTGGGCTTCATCTGCTCGGGTTCGGCCAACATCTTTGGTGAGTTTTGAGGTCAGGCTGTGGAGTCAGGGTGGAGAGGGAGCTCCAGATAAGCCAGGCTCTGCCCCAGGGCCTTTGAACGTATGCAACCTAATTTATCCCCCAAATGCCCAATGTCAGTTATTTGCTCTTTTCTCTTCAGATGAAGAGACAGAGGCTCAGGGAAGTGACCTGACTTGCCTGAGTTCACAGAGTAGGAGCAGAGATAGGAAATTGATCTTCCTGATTCAATCCTATTTGCCTCACCCTACCCTTTCAGCAAAATTTTGGTATTGCCAAGGCTTTTTGTCCTCTTAGCTATCCCAAAGTGTATGTCATCTATGCAATTATTTAAGAAGTATCCAGCAAGTAATAAGACAAATAACCCAGCTGTGCAGTGAAATAGGTTCTATCCTGGGCTCAGTCACTTACCCAGGGTTGATTTTGAAATCTTCCTTGCCAGCTGGGTGACCAGTTACTTTCGTTACCTGAGTCTTGGTGTCACGTGAGAGACCTGGAAACATTACCAATCTCCTCTCAGGGGAGTGCTGAACATTATGTGTCAGAATTGGAGAAGTGTGCCCAGCTGCCACATTGCAGATTAGACTGTAATAGGTGACGATAATGCTGCTGGAAAAGCATCTGTGCTCTCGGGACCCACCTCTGCACCTGGGGCCCAGGCCACCCTTTCCTCTGACGTGCCTCCTCCCCTCTCAGAGTACCAGGTGGATGCCCAGCCGCTCCGTCCCTGCGAGCTGCAGAGGGAAAAGGCCTTTCTGAAGCAAGCAGACTACGTGCCGCAGTGCTCAGAGGATGGCAGCTTCCAGTAAGTCCTCAGGTGCCCAGGGGTCCTGGGACGCCTTCTTCCTTCTTCCTGAGTGAGAGTAAGTCCTTTCAACTCCTCTGTGCACCTGAGACCTGGCCATGTCATTTGGAGATGGCCCCTCTCAGTTCCCCAGGCCAGAGAGTTCATGCCAATCTGACCAAGTGAGCCCTTCATCCTGCCCTGCCCCCTGCCCTTCCTTCTCCTCCTGCCAACACTTTGACCCTGATTGTGGTGGCTTTAAACAAATATGTATGTTGGGAGGCAGTGGTCAAATGGTCTGTGCTTTGGTACCTCCCCCACCTCCCTTAGTGTCCTCTTGAGAAGTCAGACAGAGGGAAGCAAAGGCTGGCGGCCTTCCCGGGCTGGGATGCCCCCGACCCTGCCCAGGTCTGCTCTCCAGCGGCTGGGTTACCGTCTCCACAGTGAGCAGCCCTCTGAAAGGGGTTTTCCCAGCTGCCCCAGCACAAACTTGGCCATGAGATTGTCTCAGCAGAGCGAGTGGTGATAATCTAAACAACAGCAGCACAGATAAGCATCCTTCGGAATAAGCAGGCAATGGGAATTTCCTCCTGCTATTCCATAGGGAGCTCAGTCTTTATGGCTGTTCTGGGAAACATCCCTGAAACCACCTCTGCTGCTCTTGACATGCCCGACCTCCCACGAGCACCAAGAGACATGCTGGTCTGGCTCCTGCCTGATCTCTGGGATCCTGGAACAGTAAGGAAGGAGCTCGGGAGGCATCTCACCATTCCCAGCCTTATTTAGGATCCTAGTCTCCTTTCTCCTATCCCAGCCACTCGTAGTGTCAAGCCAGCCCAGCCCTCAGGAGGCTTTGCAGATGCTGTTCCCTTTACCTGGAACACCTTCTGCCTTTCAGCCCTCGACCATCTGGCAGGCCTCAGTTCAGCTGTTACTTCCTCTGGGCGACCAACCACACAGCCTGGCCTGACCCCTTCCCATGTGCTTACTAGTACAAGCTGCTGACCCATGACTTCCCTGGGTCCCCCAACCTGATCCTCACTATGAGAGCATGGGCCTCCTCCTCCTTTGTGGCCCCACAATCACCAAGTGCATTCTGTGGATGTGGCTGAAGTTGTGTCTTCCAGGTGGGGTACTTGCTTTGGGCTGGCAGGCTGGATGGCCGAGGCAGGAGTGGGTGCAGATATCTGCCAGGCAGGAAAAGTCATGCTTTTCCTTCCAAGTCAGCCACCCTCTTTACATTACTCCTACCCCAACTTAAGTTAAAGACTGGAGGAACAGAAAGGAAGAAGGAAGGTGACCTGGCTTGGAACTAGCGTGTGGCTTTGGGAGTCCAACATGGTGTCACCCACGTGTCTCTCCTCAGGCTTGTCCAGTGTCAGAATGATGGCCGCTCCTGCTGGTGTGTGGGTGCTAATGGCATAGAGGTACCAGGCAGCAGGCAGCCTGGACGACCAGTGGCTTGTAAGTGCAAAGGGGCACAGGTGGGAAGGAGGGACCTTGCTGGGATGTCTCAGATCTGGAAATGAGCTCTGGGCTTGGGGGGCTGACCAGTGGAGTTTCCCTGGGGTCCTGCTCCTCCTCTTTGGATGAGAAAGGTCCATAAACACCACACAAGGCCACTCTTCCCACAGGACCTTTGTGAGAATCCAGTGAACCAATGGAGTTGTTATTTGTCAGACAGACAGCCATCAAGTTCCTCCCCTGTGCTGGGAACCTTGCTGGGTGCTGACCAAACGATGCTGAGTGGACATTAGAGTCCCCTGAAATCAGAGAGTGACCAGGGAAGCAAGAAGGGATTTTTCACCTGTGGTGCAAGCATTTGGGAGTTGGGTAAAACTACCCAGTTAAAATTATTGTTACTGTGAGTAGTCAAGAAACAGAATCCTCATTTAAAGCCTGTTGTCACCCCCCAAAAGTCAATGTAAGGCAATCACCTTAAAATGATGAGATTGAGCCTAACCCCAAAGCTGTCCTTTAATAGATAAGGGCTCTGTTTGGGGCCATGGTTTTATGTGGCAGTGTGGCTGGCACGGGGTCAGGCTGGGTCCTCATGCTTGGCCTGAGTACAGTTGCCACCCACCCCCGCTGAGCTGTGGCTCCTCCTCTGTGACACGAGCATACGGTCTGCCTTGTAGTGCTGTTGTCAGGACTCAACAGGGCAGTCACTGCTCCCTCTTAGTTGTCCATGTCAGGAGAAAGGAACACCTGAGGCTCGGAAATTCCCAGAGAAAAGAGTTCTGTTTGGCTCACGGCCCTGTAGGCTGTGTGAGAGGCACCGGCCTAGCATCTGCTTCTGCTGAGGGTCTCAGGCTGCTGCCACGCACTGTGGAGGTCAATGCGGAGCAGCAGGTGCAGGTCACAGAGAGGGGAGCAAGAGGTGAGGGAGCTGCCAGGCTCTTTGTAACAACCACCTGTGCTGGGAACTCACTGGCCCAGGCAGGGCATTACTCTATTCACGAAGGGTCCCTCCCAGGACCCAAACACCTGTCATTAGAGCACGCCTTCCACTCTGGGGATCAAATTTCAACATGAGACTCAGAGGGGACACATATCCAGACTGTGGCAGTCAGCGTCGATCACGCACCTGATAGAAGGCAGCTGCTTTCCTACCCTGTAGAGAAGAGTAAGGCACACAGGCGAGGCAGCTGCCCCAGGGTTATGCTGCAAACAGGTACAGAAATCCAGATTCAGACAAGCTGGGTCAGAACTCTGTTCCCACCTCCGCTCTGCAGCGCCAGGACTCTGGGCTGTGCGGCTGACTGACGTGAGAGCATGGGATCTGCCCTCCTCCGACTCAGTCTACAGGACTCAAGGACAGTCTGAATGCAGGGCTTGAGGCTGCCACCCTCGCCCTGAGTGTCCGTGGGCTGGTCATTTCCCTCCCAACGTGTCCCTCTGGGGAGGGAGCCAGAGGCTTCCTGGGCTCAGCCCTCTGGGTGTCCCTGAAGCACCACCTGACGCTGCTCTTCATACCCCACAGGCCTGTCCTTCTGTCAGCTGCAGAAACAGCAGATCTTGTTGAGTGGCTACCTGAACAGCACAGCCACATCCTACCTCCCTCAGTGTGGGGACTCGGGGGAATACACGCCCATCCAGTGCGACGTGTGGCAGGAGCAGTGTTGGTGTGTGGACACAGAGGGCATGGAGGTGTACGGGACCCGTCAGCGGGGCAGGCCAAGGCGATGTGAGTTTCACTGACACTAGCCGGGTTGGGGGTCAGGGTCAGGAAATACAGCTTCCCTCACTGTGAACCAGAGGGAAGGTTCTAAGACTGCTAACATTTCCATGTGGCAGACAGCCCACATTCTCTGGCTGACCATTGGTCACATAAGCAGGATTTTGAGGACCATTTTCATGTCTCCTGTTACAGACCTCAGTTGCTGTTTGGGGCTCTAACTGTATGAAAGTGGCCCCCTCAGATTTTCATGGAGCTGAAAAATTCCTATTGCCTAAGAATGTCTTGAAGACCTTGACCTGCAGAGGCCAACATGGGGGGTGGGTGTGTTTGGGTCTTTGTTTTTAACCAAAGAGTTAACAAAGTAAAAAAGTGAATAAATAAAAATAGTAAAAAGCTTGTAGACACAGGATATAAAGTATTTTTGTATGGCTGGAAAATATGTTTGTGTTTTAAGCTAAATGTTATTAAGAGTCAAAAAGTTAAAATAAGTTTATAAAGTAAAAACATTATGAAAAGTTAAGGTTAATTTATTAGTAAAGAAAGAAAAATACTTTTTATAAATGGAGTGCAGGTGAGTGTGCAGTGTTGATGATGTCTGCAGTGGTGCCAGCAGCGTCCTCGGCCTTCACCTTCTCTCACTCTCCCTGGTGCACCCAGAGCACCTTCTGGTCCCACAAGCCCCAGTCCCGGCAAGAGTCCTGTACAGGTGTACCCTTCTCACCTTTTATACTGGACTTTTCCTGTGCCTTTTCTATGTTTGGATAACACAGATCCTCACCATTGTGTGACAGCTGCCACAGTACTCAGTACAGTCCCATGGTATAGGCGTGTACCCCAGGAGCAATATACCAGGCCACACAGCCTGGGTGTGCTGAAGGCTACAGCCCTACGTGTCTGCAACTGCCCCCTGTGATGTCGCACAGGGACAAAATCGCCTAACAATGTGCTCCTCAGAGCATGTCCCTGTCATTGACTGCCAACTGGATGTGCAGCTTGACTGCAGAAACCTAAGCACCCACTCGTACAGACACATTTAAAATTTGTTCATGAACGGGCGGCACCTATGACTCAAAGGAGTAGGGTGCTGGCCCCATATGCAGGAGGTGGCGGGTTCAAACCCAGCCCTGGCCAAAAACTGCAAAAATAAATAAATAAATAATAAAATAAAATTTGTTCATGAACATGTTTAGGTCCCAGGAGCTGTGAAATAAGAAACCGCCGTCTTCTCCATGGGGTGGGGGACAAGTCGCCACCCCAGTGCTCAGCAGATGGAGAGTTTCTGCCTGTCCAGTGCAAATTCGTCAACACCACAGACATGATGATCTTTGATCTGGTCCATAACTACAACAGGTAAGAGGACCCAGCCCACAGAGCTCACATCCTGAGTGGGAGCTTGTGCGTGTCATTGCACAGCAAATGTCACTGGGGCCCTGGGGTACTACAGCATTTTGGACAAAGCCAACTGGCATTGCTATTAAATTAAAAATACATGCCCCCTCCAGCTCAGCCAGCCATGGAAATGTAAACTACTGGAATGTGAAGACGTATGTACGAGGGTCTCCATTGGATCATTTTTCACTGTAGCATAAAACTGGGGAACAAAGTGACCATCACAATGTGGATAACTGAATAAATGTGTGTTGCCACAGTATTTATGCAGCCGTTAGAAAGAAAGAATTGTGCCAGTACAGTTGACTTGGAAAGGATCCATGGTTTATTATGATAATGTGATTCAAGATACAAATGCCCCTAATACAGCATGGATAATGTGATTTAGTTTTTAAAGAACAGACAAGCAGTATATGATGATGCTGGTGTCTGCGCAGGACTAAGTGGGCACCGAGGCCAATGTGATGGGCTGCTTCAGAGGTCAGGGACGGGCTGGAGAAGCAACAGTGGGCAGAAAGGGATCAGCAGAAAAGGAGAAAAGCTTTGACAGCATCGTATTCATGTTCTGTAGTTTTGTAACCTGCATGGATGTGTGCAATTATAAATAGTTTCCAAGATTTAAGTAACAGATTTAGAAAGGGAACTACATTAGAGATCTTGGCCCAAATGGCCGGGTAGCTTCTGGTTATCCGAGATGGCCACTTGAGTATTGTAAAGGGCTCACACTGACTGCAGATGTAATTGAACCATTCGGAGTAAACAGAAACATGAATACTAGTTTGCAAATACTGATATGAATTCTCTTGGAGAACTTGAGCCTCTGTGTGGATGGCTTCTAAAACAAACAGCCTCTTTCCCCACGTGAGAGAGGAAATTCTCATGGGCTGTGCCAGGAGAGCTCTCAGACTAGGAGACGGCACTCAGGATCTGAGACAGGTTTTGTTTGTGCTGAAAAATAGTTTTAAAACTATTTTTAAATAACTTAAAAACCTTTTATGAGGTTATACTCTATAAAATTTCTATTTTTGTAGGTAAAAAGGTAGTTGGACGTGTGTAGTTTTGTATATTCAACCTCGAGTACTACATCCTGTGGTTTCAAAGCACAAGGTGGGAGGCTGTGTCCACCCATGGTGCCAAGAACCTGCGCTGCCCTTTGTGGGCCAAGGGCACACCCATCTGTGTCGTGTTGTATCCCTGCCCACTCCAGCCATCTGCATTACCTGCTTGGGCCTGTAGCACTTACCTATGCGACCTGCATTCTGCCTCTGCCACTTCATAGCATGGGCCTGCCTACTTTCCCTCTGAGAGCCTCAGTGTTTCCATCTATGAAATGGAAGACAGTGCCCTGCTCATTAGGTCATAGTGAAGATCCAACAAGACCACATCTATGAAACCATTGCAAATTGACAAAATTGTGAATCATTATCCATCTGTAGGGAATTCTCATGTGTCACTCAGTTATGGCAAATGTAGGTTAGATCCCACCCTCTCTACCCCCACCCCAATGCTAGAGAATGCCTATCTATGAACACATGTAAATCTCCATCAGCCAATTTTGTATCTTTTTATCAGCTTTAATGCTTACAGAAATAATTTGATAATTGTAGAAACGAGGACTCTGAAACATGAAAGTTACGAACTCACCCTATGAAGCATAATTAGTGGGTGCTAGAGCTCCTTTTAGTAGACCACACTACTGTGATTCATCTTTGCATAGTAGGGAGCTTGCACCCAATACATCTACAGTCAGTGCTTACAGAATGCATCCAAGAATCTTGTGGGTGCCATGCTGAGGTTGAGGCAAATTCACAGTCATTTCCACAAGAGGGCAGTCAAGTTAAATGTAAAAGTTTAGCACTAAGCAGCCATTGTTTAAAACAAATACAAAACAATTTACTCCTGAAATGGAGTCTCTTTCTTTTTCTGTATGCAAGCTTATCTTAGAGCAAATCTGGTTTAGGAAGGTCATGGGAAGGGTTGGGTGGTTGATTACTGGAAGCCCAGCTAGAATCAGAGATTTTCTAATGTTTATGTAGACCTGTGTGTCCTCAGGCCCAGTGACTCCTCTGGGCAGAGTGGAAGAAGCCAGAGTCTAAGCTCAGAGCCCGGAGTTGCCAGATTAAATACGGGACAGCCAGATACATTTGAGTTTCAGGCCCAGTTACATTTGAGTTTCAGATAATTGAAGAATAATTGAATTGTAATGTTGAATCTGAGGGTGTTTCTTTCAGACCTTCAAAGAGGTGGCCTAAGGCACTTGACTTACTTTCCTGGGGCCAGGGGATGGCTGAAAGCCTGTGGGCATCTCATTTGCCAACTCTTACTGTGCCAAGTGATGATTTGCCCTTGAACTTGACTATAAAGCTTATGTATTTGAAGTTGGTCTTTTTGCCCTTGAGAAACGTCACTGCTCACTACACCTATTTGGCCCGTGACATTCAAAGTACAGTGTCATGCTGGGGAGTAAGCTTTGCTAGTCCCTCTGTGGCATGCCCCACCTGTCACATTGCCCTACCCAGTCACAGGTTCTGGCCAAGCAGATTACAGGTAAAGAAGAGCCTTTAATCAGGGCTGATGCCTTTACTAAGACCTTAGTGTTCTGAGTTAAGATTCAGTTAATCAGTTTCTTTATCAATCCTTGTCCCCAGTGAGTAAACTCAGTCAAACTTTTTAGTAATCTGTCTTATGTCAAATGTCTTAGCCACCCACCCATGCTACCCAGATTGTCTGGCGGGAAGGGTCGGATACATCTTAGCACTTGGGATAGGTGCATTGTAAGTGGGACACAGAAGGGATGGGGTGGAGAAATCAGATACTATGCTAGGCTGTACCCCTCCCAAAAGGAGCACCCACTCTGGTGCAGGAGAAAATCAAATACATGACTAATTTATTAATCTATGATTAGATTTCTGGAGGGAAATGGGAGCTTCTAGAGGATCTGACTCATGCTCTGCACAGGAACGGGACCAGATGCCTGGGGGGCCCAGAGCTTCATAGTTGGTCATTTCCCTGCCTGTGGGCTGGGCATAAGCTCAGAAATGCATCACCTGCCTCTCTGCTAGCATTTTCATTCTTGAGGACCCTCCTATGATCACCTTGAGAGTTTGCTTTTTATTCAATAAAAGGCAAGCATCCTTTTCTACTGGACAAAATATCTACTATTTTTTATCTATATTAAATATTGAATATTGTATTGAATTTATCTTCCCCTTTTTTCCTGATATACCCAGAATAGGATATAAATGGAAATTAGAGAAAATAATGAGGAAGGCAAAATAAGGGTAAAAAACGAGAAGTGATGACAAAGGCAGGTGTCCAGCAGCCATTCCTCGAGGCTGCAGCAGATGTGGAAGTTGCATGCTTGTCCCTGAGCTCCCCCCGTGACCAGAGAAAAGAGTCTAAGTTATTTGATTTCCACCAGATAACAATAAGCTGCTTTCTCCAGGGAACACAACTTTTTCTTCTATTGAGGATGAAGAAAACTTTTTCTCAGGTCCTCACAAGGGGACTATGCCATGTGACAGTTTCCTGCTGCCAACAAGAGTGTTGGTTTCGCTTCTTATGGGAAGTGATGGACATGGTGTTTTCATGTGCTGTATTAGGGTGACTGAGGTCTTGGGTTATGGCATTTTCTACCAAATTTATACCTTCTTCTGTGACTACTAACATCTCTGTTTTTCCTGTTGCCCACACTTGAGGTCCTGTCTAACCATCCTTCTAGACCCCTTCTCTACTAGCTCCTGCTCAAATTGCTGTTCTTGGCTTTAGAATCCCACTGAAAGTCACCGGCCAAACAGATTACAGTGTTCCTTTGTGCTCACCTTCTTTGGGAGCAGTCTTTGACCACGTGATAGGTTCCAAACCCAGCTGGACCACCTGTAAGGATGGTGCTAGGGCTGTCCAGATCGCCCCAGGACTTCCAGTTCAGCTTTGCTTGGTTGAGCTAATATGGAGAAGGTGGACAGCACAGCGCGGCAGAAGCCCTGTGCCCTGGTGACAGTAATCACTGAAGACAATAGCAGAAGCGACAACTAAACATTGTAACAGTGCTGATGGTTACTCTGGAGAAGGAGTCTAAAATTCATAGATGGTGATGCTGTGTCAGAAATTAGCCACAAAAATCAGTCCATATCAAACTGAATTGTGGGAACACGGGAAATCAAGAAGACTTTTTTTTTTTTAGAGCATGAACTCCCTGTTGGTTGCAGGGAAGGGTTCCCAAAGCCACCTGTGCTATCTAAGGAGCACTGGAAATGGATTCAGGATACCCAGCTCCTGGTCTTGGTTGGGTAATTTTTAACCCAATCATGCTACCAGTCAGAATCTCATTTGTGACATGGAGATTTTTTTTTTTTTTT